GGCAGCCAGCCGGGGCCCACAGGTACACAGCGAGGTGGAGGGTGGCAGAGGGATTGCGGTGGCAAATGCTTGTGGTTTGGATCGAGAGCCAAAATGTGAGGAGGTGATTCACTCTGTAACAGCTCCTCTGAGTGTACTATTTTAAATGGTGTTTTGAAGGTGGGTTGTCATTTTTCATACTGTGATTCAGTTTGGCGGTGGAGTGAGCCAGAGGGGCAAATCTTAATTAGTCTGCTGTTTCAAGGTCCTTCACTTACAGTTAGAATGACATGACAAGTTTATCACTTCTCTGAGAACAGATGTAGAGGCTAAGTGATCATTATTTTTGTTAGTACCTTAAAAATACAACCAGCAGATCCTAATTTACTTTGAAATGAAAGTTTTCTAAGGAAAACATGAAGCCAGGGATTTCTGTTCTTTAAAATTGCAGTTCATTTTTAGTAGAGTGGGATAGAGAAGCCCCTTTACGTTTTTGTAAAATCAGGAATTTTTGATGATAAACTGGTAAATATATTTTATTTAATATGAAACTGAAAATTAATGAAATTTTATTCAGTAGGTTTTTCGACAAAAAGTTAATATTGTTTTACATTACTTAAATGAAATGCTGGTTACTCTTTATCTCCTTTGTTCCAAGAAATTAAACTGTATTTTCTCAAAGATGAAAGAAGATCTTATTGGTTGCTAACATCTTATTTCCATTTTAAACTTCTATCTTTTTGTTGAATTAAATTTAGCTATGAAGTTACTCTGACATTCGTGGAAACCTGCCCAAATTGGTGCATGGGAATTGAGCTTCTTGACATGTTTCTCTCATCTGTTGGCCTGTTTGAAGGATGTAGCTTGCTTTATTGCCATGCTGGCCTTGATATCAGAGCCTTTGATGTTGGTATAGTCTCATCTGGTAACCTGTGTCATTTCCTCTTCCTAATACATTACATGATTTCCTTTTCAGTTTTGGGAGGGACGTTCCCCCGGTTCATGCTGCAAATAAAAGAAAATAATTTGGTGATCATAACTACAAACAAATTGAGAGATCAGCTTCTTATATGTAGTAGATCTTAAGAGTGAATATTCTTAAATGTCTCATGGAATAGCAAAATCTACCTCTTTTGAGCTTCAAAATCTACCTCTTTTGAACCTCTTTTTTTGGCTGTAAATTATCGAATAAGAACTCCCCAATTGCTCGTTATGACACTTACAGAGACAAGAAAGGATCTATTAAGTTGTCCTGGGTTAGCCATTTTAGAGAAATTGAAATATACATTTTGAGGATAGCATCTATGGCAGGTCTTTGTAAGGGATTCCTTAAAGTGACATTAAATCCAAGATTTATATGTTTATTTGTTGGCAGAGTAATAATTTTTTTCTGTATATAAACAAACATGAAGATTATGGTTATAGTGTGTTAAATTGAATGTTGTTGATTATATTTAAAACATGGGAACTAATTGGAAAGATGTATAGTTACGTATAGTTATTGTATACATAACTATACATAGTATATTATGTATAGTTATTTAAGCTTGGAAAAAAACTTTCTGTTTGAAACTTCTGTTTCAAAATGCCATTTGTTTTCTCTTTTTATTTGTGTTATTTTCATTTACTGGATTTAAAGTTGATGATTTGAGGCAGGATAATTTTAAACAGGAATATTCTTTAGTTTATTGGCTACTTTAAATCTGTTCTTAAGATAAACTTAAAGTTTATGCAGTACACTACTACACAGTTTTGTGTAAAATAACAAAATATAGAAAATCTAATTAAATAATTTAAAGTAGAATTTAGTGCAAATATCCACTAGGTGGCACCATGAGAACTCTAAATCTTGTTACTGAGATTCTTCTAGGTCCTCCTATATTATGTATGTTAGAGTATCTGTTGCTTACTCAGCTTGAAGAAATTGTTTTTTCTCTTAAGTGCTTATTTATTCTATATTATTCACTGTCCCTTATTAATTGAATTTGCTTTGGTGGAGGTGCTTGAAATAAATAGGAAAAAAGAACAAGTCATTTTACTCAAGATAAAATGAGAATGTGTCAGTATTTGTAAGTATGTATGCAAATTAAACAAATGATACAAATTATAAATATTGACTCTTAACCCTAGAGATATTGAGAATATAATATTGGACATTGGGAGTTTAGGGGTTGGGTGGGGCAAATAACAAAAAATTCATGATATGTTTTGGAATCTAGGTTTTAAAGTAGAAGGAAACATTAGAAATAATATAGTTAAATCTCTTATTTTAAAACAAAAAAAATCAGAATTTCGGGGAAGTTAAGCCATGTGCCTAAGGTACTCCAGGTATGTGATAGTCCTTACAGAACTATATTTTGAAATGAAAAGAGTTAATTTTATGGAGGGGACGCAGGGAGAATACGTATATGGTATAGAAAGCTCAGCATGAGCTACTTGCATATAGGGAGAAAGGCTGGATATCTTGGAGTCTAGAGAAGCTATGGAGAGTAGCAGAATAAAAAGTTCATTGTGTGAAAAGGGAAGCCAAGTGATATTTCTTTATTGTTCATGATAAGATAACAGTATTAGGGTTGTGATTATGAGTGCTGTTTTGTTTTCTGAGCTTACTCTGTTTGCATCAAATATATGATAGTTATTCTGATGTTCTTTTTATAAAATTTGAAGAGTGAGGCATAGACATGTCCCAAGGATGTTATAAAAATGTGAAACATCAGAGGAATGGTTCCTTTTAGTAACAACAGCTATTACTAAATGACGAGTAGGGGATCAAGTACAGGAACCCTAACTAGCATTAAGCTTTAGATTTAGGTGTCCATTTAATATCATATTTATAAAGGCTGTTTCTTAATGGAAATGGATATGTATGTCTTCTACCTCAAGGTAACCTTTGTTCTGTTGGCTAGATATCTTGCTTTGTGCATGAAGCATGAGTCATTGCTACTAGGAAAAATAGAAATTCCCTTTTGTTGACTATGGCAATATTTGAACCTCAGGGCTCAGTGAAAGCTATCAGCTAATAATAATGAGGCCAGGTATTTTATATATAGTCACCCATGAGAGACCACCTGTTGTTCTAAAGGAAACTGATCTCTTTTTACAGATGGTCTTCAAATACAGATTTTTGATAGTTTATAGTATAAAGATTTATTCTATGGCAACTCAACCTTTTCCCCTGGGGCCTGTCTTTCAGAGATGGTGTCCTAGACAGATTTCACTATACTGCCCTACTCTGAGCAGTTCAAAGCACAGAGGTAAGGGTAGGTAGGTGAACTGGGATGCTAAATAAACCCCTCATGTCTGTAGCTGCTTTTTAACAAGTCACCTGGGGCCCTCTAATAGCCCTGAGACTTGAATCTCTGTGATATGAACCTGGAGGCAGAACGCTTTCATAGAACCTTTGACTTTTTCCCCTTGTATCACTTCCAAAAAAAGCTTAGGTTTTTGCCTTGATGGTGTTGGTGAAGGATGCACCTTTTACTCTCATGATGGCCTAGAGGGCCCCTTTAAGTATGGATCGACTTCAGCTTGGTTTAACTTTTGACAAACAGTCTCTATATTGTATCAGATGTCAGTGGTTACCCTGCCTTATCCACAATGTCCTTCCTACTTACCTAAAGAGAACCTGTCACTTGCTTGTTGTTTCCTATATCTTATTACCTTTCTTTCTGGGTTTTAGGGAGCTAGTCTCCACTTTATGTAATATTGATATGTGGTTTTATATAAAACAAATTGAATTATAGGACTTTGATTTTTAGAAGCTGAATAAGCACTGTATTAAGCAGATGTATTAAGGGTATAAGATACACTAGGCACTGAGTATTTATATGTAATATATATATATATAAATGAGGTTCATTGCTATGGTGGTAAAGGGAGCTTTAAAATGTTATTTTCCTTTCCTTGAACTGGTTGGAGAATACTTCACTGAGAAAAAGGGAATTTAAAAATTGCTTAAATGTGGAAGAGAAAAATATCAGTGAGTACTAGAAGCTGATTAGTTGTAATGTATGGTCTATACAGTTGGGCTTTTCAGGCATGGTAGAGTGCAACTTAAGAGGAGAATTAAAGGAATAAGGTAGGCAAGGAAGAGGTGTCAGGGGGTAGCCTGCTTTAAACAGATCAGTCTTTATAATCATGTCTAACTGCTTAAGTGATGAATTTCTTCACATTGGCTGCGGGATGATCCATATAGGTTTATATTTCATAAATGATGCCTGTATAACTTTCTTTATATTGAAGGAAATACTCAGTTTTAGCCCTTGCATCATATCCTTTGACATCTTTCAGTTACCGAACTTAAGAGCTTACCACACACAAAGAATGTTATTGAATCTCATTACAGAACCACCTATAATCCTACCATACCTAGAAAATCACTATTAATCTTTAGTGTATCTTTCTATCCTTTTTTTCTGGGTTTGTTTTAAAATTAGAGTTCTGGTATATGCACTCTTCTGTAATTTGTCATTTTTGCATAATATGGTAAATACTTTAGCATTAAACATTCTTCTTCAACATTATAGCTATGTGATATGTTATCATAGGGCAGTATCATAATTTCCTATTTTTAGGAATTTATGTTATCTCCAAATTGTTATTAATTTTTGTGATGGACATTCTTGTATATAAGTCTTTTTGTATGTCTTTGTTTTTAGTATAAATTACTGAATTTCTGGGTGTGAAAGATAAAGTAGTTTTTGTGCTTTTGATATGAATTGCCAAATTGTCTTCTAAAAAGTGTTAAAACAGAATTCTTTTTGCTTCCGTTTGCTTCTCCTGATTCGGCTGAAAAATTTGTCTTCCTAGCTAACCTGCTAGTTTTTTTGTTTGCTTGCTTTTAAAGATTATTCATTTAGAAATTAGTTAGAGTTTGAAAAGGAAACACTGTATAGAATATTGATTTACTTAATTTTATTATCTGACTTTCTCTCCAGGTGCTCTGATGGTCTTACTTTTTTGATCTGATTTCATTTAATTATGATTCTCATTGTTAATAAAATAAGGTTGGAAAGGTAAGAGGAAGTATGACTGTGTTACTAGGTTTTTGTGGTCAAAAGCCAAGAAACTGAGTATACATAACTTTATCCTCTTCCCTTTTGGTATTATTGTTCTGGCTAGAGAGGAAAATCAGGCAAAGCATGAAACAGGACAATGTGATAGATGGTATGAAGGTTATAGTGACAAGACACCGGAGAACAGACAAAAGGTCTATAATACAGCATTTCCTTTCTTTTGTGATTAGCTATATAAGCCAGAACTTTTTTTTTCAACTTTATTTGTTTATTAATTTCAGTGGACTAGGTTATATAATGGCACCATTTAAGGAAACAAATTTGCCTCAAAATACATAAAATATTTTTAAATTATTTAAGAAAAAAATCTCTTATAAAGTTCACATGTATTTCTCAGAATAGTAGATAAATAACTTTATAGATTGCTGTAAAAGATTTTGATTATGAAGCACTGTTTGTATGGCTCAAATGTCAGAAAACTGAAAAGATTTCCACTAGGTTCAAAGAACTTCATTTGAGATTGTGGGTTTAATGAAATCTGTTTCTTTTGGGAACTAGATTTAGTTTTTTTGGGCATTCTAAGGATTTGAAAAAAAGTTGAAAATGAGGATATATTGGCAGGATGACAAAGTAGTGTCTAAAGCTGATTTAAAATTTGAGCTTAGATACAGGAACATGTTTTTACTCTGTCTTACTTTATTTGATATGAAGTAAGTGATTTGAGTCTAAAATAGGGGTTGGCAAACTATGGCCCACGGGCCAAATCTGGCCTGCCACCTGGTTTTGTATGGCTTGCAAACTAAGAATGATTTTTATATTTTTAAATGCTTGAAAAAAATTAAAAGAATATGATTTTGTGATGTGAAACTACATGGAATTCAAATTTCAATGTGCATAAACAAAGTTTTACTGGAGCACAGCCATGCTTATTCATTTATGTATTGTCTGGCTGCTTTTGTGCTACAATAGCAAAATTGAGTAGTTGTGACAGAGACCATAAGTAGCCTGCAAAGCCTATAATATTTACTCTCTGGCCCTTTATGGAAAAAAGCTAGCTAATCTCTAATTTAGAATTGTGTAGTTTAATCCACCTTTAATTTTGATTTAGTATGTAATCCTAAGGAAATTATTTTCGTTTTAATGTATTTTTTGAGAAATTTGGCAGTTAATATTCAGTGGTGATGCAGATCTCATGTTTGTTCTCTGTTTTTTTATATTATCCTATTGTCAATCTTATTTAATGATATAGATCAGTGGCTCTCACACTGTGATCTTCAGATCCCTGGGTGTTCCTCATATCTTTTCAGGGGGTCCACAAGGCAAAACCTCTCTTGATAATAATGCCAGGATATTCTTTGCCTTTTTACCGTGTTGACATTTGCACTGATGAAGCAAAAGCCTTGGTGGCTAAAACTGCTGTGCCTGGGCAAGAATCAAGACAGTGGCACCAAACTGTAACAGCGTTCATTGTATGTACTTGTAAAACCAATACTAGTTTCTCCTAAAAATGTCACAGATAATGCAGTAAAAACTGTTAATTTTATTAAATCTCAGCCCTTAGCACATGTCTTTTTAATATTCTGTGTGAAAAATGAGAAGTATATGTAAAGCACTCTGCATACTGAACTCCCATAGCTATCTAGAGGAAAAGCATTTGTGTAGTTGTTTGAGCCATTTGCTGAACTAACTGCTTTATTCGTGAGACGCTATTTTGCTTGAAAGAACAATTGACAGACTTGGGTATTTGGCCAATTTTTTCCTGAAAGTGAATGAAGCAAGCTGACACTTCAAGGAAAACAACTGATAGCATTTGTTGCCAATATTAAAATTCAGATTTTCCACCCAAAATTAGGATTTTTAGATAATTTCTTACTGCCATTTTGGGTTTGGCAGTTTCTCAATACTTAAAAGAATTTTCTGATGAGGTCAGTGGTGATATTGACAATTTTTTTGTGTGTGATATTATAATAATAAAATGTGGTTTCAACAATTGGAAGATCTGTGTAACTCAGGGAACCAGAACCAGTGTTCTCAAAATCACCAGTGTGTGATGTTACAAACTCACGTGCAGGTAAAAGATCCATTCAGCATGTAAGATAGACCCATGGATTTGAAAGTAACAAAAATGGAAATTTCATTGATAGGATTTTATATTCTACGTTGCAACTAAGCTTTAAGAAACTACCACTTCTAGAATTTTGGTGTAGTTATCGAAGAACAATATCCACAATTATCTGAAAAGGCTACTAAAATACTTGTTTCTTTTTCAGTTACATATCTATGTGGCATTTTCTTCATATTTTCCAGGTAAACAATGTATGACAATAGATTGCGAGTGGAATCAGATATGAGAATCTAGCCATCTATTGTTAAGCCAGACATTAATAAGATTTGCAAAAAATGTAAAACAGTGCCACTTCTTGCACTGAATTTTTTGTTTTGTTTTGGAAAATACAGTTATTTTTCATAAAAATTATCTTAACATGTAATGGGTTTTAATATTTCATTTACATTTTTTTCTCAGACTTATTTTCTAAATATAAATATTGGTAAATATTTACAGATAACAATCCATATAAACAAAAGATTTTTGGAGTCCAAAATTCACTTTTTTAAAAGTGTAAAGGGAGGTCCTGAGACCAGAAGGTTTGATAGGTATTATAGATAATGATCTAACCGTGAAGTTAGTTATGTGAATGGGGAGAAGGAATTTTCACTGTTACAATAGTTCAGTCGCACCTATTATTCATTTTCTGTCTGAAAACTGAGATGTAAATATAGACCAAAGTTTTTTCCAAATGCTTGTGGAAGAGGCTGAGATGAAAATTTCTAAAAATTCAGTCTTTAAAAAAATGCAGTTAGCTTACATTTTCGAGATACGGATGGTTACCTAAAAGGACACCTCTGAGGATGCATTGTATAATTGTATATAATTACAGGTTGAATGTCCCTAATCTTAAAATCTGAAATCTGAAATACTTCTGGTCCTAAGCAGTCTATTTTGCTTTATATGTATTAACTCTATTCGTCCTTTAAAACCTTGTGTAATAAGTAATATTATTAAGTAACTTGCTATTTGGCCTTTAAGAGCTTGGATTCAAGTACTTTATTTTTTGTCTTACTCCAAAGCTCTTATGCCTTTCCCTTCACCATAATGCTATTGTCTATAACAGCTGTGTATGAAAGCAACAGTTTTCTGTAAACTGTTTACAAGGTCTTGTGGTAAAGGCTCTTAATTTCAGTTTGATGATCAAGGCAAGGAGATTGTCTTCCAGAGTTATAGAGAGAAAGTGTAAAAGTGAAATGAAGTAAACTGAAACAAATTGTTAGACACTGGCTTCCATCAGTAAATTATAGCCTTCCTAATCTATTTGGATAATACGAAAACATGAATAATTAGGAAGATTTGTATTCTTTTGGCTGATTCTCAATTTAATATCTGTTTACTATTGTGATCATATTTCTAGGCTTCTCCAGTGACAGTGATCTGATATCTCTTACTGTTGATGTGGATTCTCTTGCTGAGTTAGATGATGGAATGGCTTCCAATCAAAATTCTCCCATTAGAACTTTTGGTCTCACTCTTTCTTCGGATTCTTCAGCACTAGGGGCTGTTGCTTCTGAAAGTGAACAGAACAAAACAGAAGAAGAACGGGAAAGTCGCAGCCTCTTTCCTGGCAGTTTAAAGTCCAAGCTTGGCAAGAGAGATTATTTGGAGAAAGCAGGAGAATTAATAAAGTTGGCTTTAAAAAAGGAAGAAGAAGACGACTATGAAGCTGCTTCTGATTTTTACAGGAAAGGAGTTGATTTACTCCTAGAAGGTGTTCAAGGTACAGTTTTATCTATATTAATATATTTTGTTATGTTCTTATGTTGGTATCTGGAAAAAAAGTATATACATATATCTTCTGTATAGTCCTATATAAAAACAAAACTGAAAATGAGAAAATACTAAAGCTTAAATGACCTATGGATGGAGATATACTTTTTAGCTACATGAGATGTTAGACATTATCAGAGATACTTAACCCTACTTCGATCAATTTATTTACAATAGCAGGATTTAAAAATAGTCAACAAGTATTTAAGTCTCTTATATGAATAATAATCTTTTTTCTGACTTGATTACATTATTCACCAGTTTTTTCTTTTTACTTCCTTCAAGAGTAATCCACAGAGATTCTCTAATGTACTTACTGTTTTTTTAAAAAATTTTTAATTATTATGGGTACATAATAGTTGTATATCTTTATAGGGTACATGTGATGTTTTGAGGCAGGCATACAATGTGAATTAATCAGATCAGGGCAATTGTGGTATCCATCACCTCAGGCATTTATCATTTTTTTGTGTTAGGAACATTCTAATTCCATTCTTTTAGTTATTTTAGGGTATACCCTAACTCTGTGATCACCAACCCCCAGGCTGTGGACCCATCACCACCTGAGCTTCATACTACCCTCCCCCAACCCACGGCACCCTACCCCACCCCACCCTAGTCCATGAAAAAATTGTCTTTCATGAAACTGTTCCCTGGTGCCAAAAGGTTGGGGACTGCTACTGTAACTCATTGTTGATTATAATCACTTTGCTATGCTATCAAATATGGTTCCTTCTAACTATATTTTTGTACCTATTAACCATCCTTACTTTATTCCTTCCTCCCTGCTACCCCTCCCAACCTTTGGTAACCATCATTCTACTCTCTGTCTCCATGAGATCAATTGTTGTTAATATTACCTCCCACATATGAGTGAGAACATGTGAGATTTGTCTTTCTATGTATGGTTTATTTCACTTAACATGATGTTCTCTAGTACCATCCATGTTGTTGCAGAATGGTGTCCTTTTTGTGGCTGTATGATATTCCATTGTGTATGTACACCATACACATTGTGTATGTACACCATGATTTCTTTATCCATTCATCTGTTGATGGACCCTTAGATTGATTCCAAATCTTGGCTGTTGTGAGTAGTGCTGCAGTAAATATGAGAGTGCAGATGATCTTTTCAATATACTGATTTCCTTTCTTTTGGATATATACCTAGCAGTGGGATTCCTAGGTCATATGATTGTTCTATTTTTAGTTTTTTGAGGAACCTCCATACTGTTCTCCATAGTGGTTATAGTGCATTTACTCTTGATGACCTGAAGAGACAAGCTGAAATGAGCTTTTAAATTAAGAACTTAAAAGATTCTTGGATTTGCCTACTATTCTGTTGTTAGTTGTAGTATATTCTCAACTAATTAATGGAGGTGATATGGAACAGGGAGATGTAGCTGCTGAATGTAAGTAGAACTTATCTTTTTTTTTTTTTTTTGGACAGAGTCTCACTCTGTTGCCCAGGCTAGAATGCCATGGCATCAACCTAACTCATAGCAACCTCAAACTTCTGGGCTCAAGCAATCTTACTGCCTCAGCCTCCTGAGTAGCTGGGACTACAGGCATGCGCCACCATGCCTGGCTAATTTTTTTTGTATATTTTTAGTTGTCCAGCTAATTTCTTTCTATTTTTAGTAGAGATGGAGTCTCGCTGTTGCTCAGGCTGGTCTTGAACTTCTGAGCTCAAGCAATGCTCCCGCCTCGGCTTCCCAGAGTGCTAGGATTACAGGCGTGAGCCACCGCGCCCGGCCTTTTTTTGTTTTGTTTTTAAGCATTAGCTTTTGTTTTAGTCCTCTACTTTTTCCTTATAGAAGCCAAAGGAAGCATTCTATAGTTAGTTACATGACTTTTTGGACATAATAATCAAAGGTTGATGTGACTTTCCAGTGGTTTTCTTAGAACAGTACTTCCTTGCACTGTGCCTGGTATCCTGTAGTCCAGGAGCCTTCTGTTTTACTCTTTCTAGAGCATAAACTTTCAGTCTCATTACACAATGTAGACATATATCTGCCTTATAGAGTGGAACGGGGAGTATGTGGAGGGTTTTAACTGCTGCTTAACCACAATTTTGACAAACTCTCTTAATTTTAGCTTTCAGTCTCACTTCCACAGCTAGCTAGTGCCACCAATTCCTTACTGTAAGCCAGGCAACTTTCTTGAGTTTCCCAAGTTAGTAACCTCTCATCCATCTTCTTTCTAGCTTCTAAAATTTTTATGCTGTTGTCTTCTCTCTTAGTCTTTGGGGCTTAAGGTAAAAGCCCTAATGGCTTAAATTATTTTGCTGCCATGTTAATAGAGTTTCAGGAAGGGACATAGCTAAATAAATGTGTTCAAGTTGCTATCTTTAACTGGAAATTTAGATTTTTGCAATCAGTACTTATTTTGGTGGGCTTGGGGAATCAAACAGCTTTTAATGTTTTATGTGTATAGCAATAAGAGGAGTTGGAATTTTGCAGGTTTTTTTTGTTTTTTGGTTCTTTTTTGGTTATTGTCATATTGAAGTTGCTGATATAACCATTTGGAATCTGTTGACACAGTTTCAAATGATTCTGATATTCATTTCCCATTTTTGTCTTGATATGTATGGTTATATAATTTTAGTTATCACTTTTAAGGTTTCTAGTTGAGAAACTACTTTCGAATTCTCTTGTTTTCATGGTTTGATTGATAGGTCATTTTGATCCTAATTTTGTTTATCAAATGCTTTCAAAGTCGGTTGGGTTTTTATTTGTTTGTTTGCTAGTGGGCCATTCTGGTTTTAAAACTCTACTCATTTTTGTTCTTTGCCTCAACTCTCATTGAGTTGGGAGTATAAATGGGGATGAGTTGCGAAATATCTTCTCTAATATTTCCCTTTTCTTTTCACATAATTATGTACTAAAATATCACTGGTATTCAATTGGCATAGATAAAACATATCAGTGTAACATTTTTCTGTCTAAAAGTTATTTTCACTTAGTCTTAGAACATTTCATAATGTTACCACTTGATGGCACCAGAAAAATAAAAATCTTTGCTTCAAAATGAGAATTATAGGTGCGTATGAGCAAATAACAAAGAATATATATCATTTGGTTAGTTACTTTGCTGATTATGGTGGTGAATTATCTTTCCACTAGAACTTGATACCAAACCCACTAGACCTCTGTCTTAAAGAATGTTAACCACTTAAATATATTTCTCCTGTTTAATGTATGTCTTTTAAAACCACAATATCCATTCCTACTCTGGATTGGTTTCTGTTGCTAATGTGCCATCAAATCCAAAAAGTTAATAATTGACTAACTTGCTTTTAGTCTTTTATTCTTTATTCATAATGTGATGAATTTTTATTCAGACAAATGGTAGGAATCACAATCATAGAATTGTAATTTTTAACCAATGTGTAAAAGGGCCTCTCTTTAGTCCTCACAGTTGTACATTTGACATAAGGTCAGCACAGTGCTTCCTGTCCATGGATTCTATTTAAAAGCAAACTAGTCACCACCTAACAAACATGTAGACATTATCCTTTAATTTGTGGGGTAATTGGGAGCTCTAGCTTGTGAACTTGATTTGACATTTATGCTCAGAAGAGATGCTTCTTTGGGAAAAGTTTGTTCTGTTGTGACAAAATTGTTATTGAAACATCACTGTAACCAGTAATACCTATAAATCATTTGAATTTAACTCTTTTTGTAACAGTTGTTCCTGTGACCCTGTGTTGGATTGGCATACCTCATAATAAAATAATTATTTCCGGATATATGGTAATCCAGAGAAAATAATCTTTCAGAGCTAAGTAGGGGTGCTTTATACAGAGTTAACAAATTTTGTTATTTCATTACTAAACTATTTCATCCTAAAGGAGATTATCTGGGTTGTTAGTAGATCTGATAAAGATGACTTGTTTTTTTTCTTACTTAACTGGCATTTCCACGTCTGAGACCAGATGCAAAAACACAATAGCAGCAGTTGTATTTGCCCATCCAGCAGAGAACAAGCATACCCTGATAGTGGTAACTTTGAATTCTCTTTTTGAATCTGACATTTCATTTATTCCCTTCTAGAAATGGCTCTTGAAATGAAGGTTCTGTCTGTTCTTCTAAATTCTCAGGTTTTTAAACATTTGAGAGAGAAAGTCCAAAGTCAAGGTCAAAAGAATCAATTGAATTTTTGAAAAGAATGTTGCGGTACATATCATCCTTTCATGTCCTTATTTCTATATTAATGGACGTGGTTGATATGATTAATCTCTGCTCTCAGTGTGGGCTTATTGGAATGGTTGTAACAATATAGAGTGGCAAATGGATTACACAAAGGTATTAATGAAATGTTTACATATCAACAATTTATTACATGCCTATCATCATGCAAGGTGTTTTTCTTACGTTATTTTTAATCTGTAGAACTACCTCATAAGTTGAACTGTGGCTGATCATACTGGGCTTTGTCTAAGGACACCAAAATTTAGAGGGTGCAAACATTTAATATAATGATTCTAAAAGCTTGGCACCTAGTTAGCAAGAATAATTATTTAAAACAGGAAGCTACCAGATGGCGAGCATTGTTAGTAACACCCATCTGTGGGCTACATTATGAATTACAGAGTTGATTTGAGAGCTGGTTTTGTGTAGTTTGTTCCAGGTGCCAAAAGTGCTGGTTTGCGGTCTTAGTAAGGTAGATATTGTGATCCCCATTTTACAGGTGGAGGAAATGAAGACTTGTATAAATTAAGCAATTTGTTCAAGGATACATGCCGGTAAGAGTTAAGCCAAAATTTTAATCTAGGTGTTCCTGAGTCTAAATCTTGTCTTCTTCACATTATGCCATGCTACTTCCCACACTTGCCCACCCCTCTGCTAATTAGATTAACTTTAAAATGGAGAGGTGACAAATCTCCATTATCAAATATTTGAGAACTTTCTTTATTTTGAATATTCATTATTTTTCCTTCTACCCATT